ACGCAGACAGGCGCATTTTTCCGGAAAACGAATCTGACATGCCACCTCGAGATTTTAACCACGGAAAGACAACTTGATGTGCTTTGATTTGAGGGGTCACTCACTGCTGAACGAAAATTAGGGACATTGCTATGTGAAGAAACGTTAAGATTGCCGCCTACGGGAAAACAATTAGTGGGCTGTACCCAATATGTGGAGGGCTGAAGGCAAATGGTAAGAGAAAATTTTCATAGATCTTTACTTTGTTTTTAACTCGGTGTTTACTATCATTTCCAATTGTTTAAATTTTTGAAAGAAGCACATTTTAATTTGTTTATACATATTTTGAAACAAATCGATTTGTTAATAGACCCCCCTCCCCCCTTGGGAACAGACGGCTTATGCTCATATCTCCCATTGTGTTCACATGTAGCATGTAAATTAAATGCATCGAATTTATACAATTTATTAATTCAGAGCCATTAATAGATATTTAGAAAAGGAACAATTATTGTAGAAGTACATCCACGACTATTGTTTATTTTCAATACACAAAAATTCACAAATGAGGTCGGAATCGGTATTCAGTGAAGTTCAAGGTCAAAGTGAAAGTAGAGTGGCAGTAAGTTACCAAAACTGCTTAGTGCTACCTAGTGCAGAGTCTTGCAGTATGTAGGTGATATGCATTTGTCATTTTATGAAAGAGGTAAAGAAGAAAAAGGTTTCCATGCCTTATTACAATATTTGTAAATGAAAACTTTTATTTTTATGGAATAGAATTACATGAATGAGGACATACATGTGCATTCTTTCAAAGAAGTCGATCAGGCTACAGTTGTGTGGAAGTTAAGCAGTGTGTGCGTGAACATGCACACTAACATTTTTTTTAATATATTTTAATAACTACATAACATGTATTTGTCTAATGTATAATTATTGTCAGTAAGCATGCTTTTTACCTGTATTATTAATTTACATGTTATTTAACAATGATGAGAGTAATGAGTGCAAATTCATCATTTTTAATTGATATCAAATTATGGGCATAAAAGGAATGTGGTAGGATTGTGTGTTTTTGATGTCTGTCTGTGAATGTTTTAGGTGCTTTTTGATGCTGATAAATTAATGCAACATTTTTTAAATTGATTTTTTTAGGTTCATGGTGATACAGGACAACTTCAAGGTTCATGCAGATGGTGCAGATGGTGTTTAAAACTATCAGTCAGTAAAAACAAACTCATTTGAACACATCTTAAGTCTTCACATGTAAAATGATGGCAGTACTTTTAATATGTAAGTTAAATTTTCTAAAACTTCTTTGTGTTTGTATGTGTGTGTGTGTGTGTGGGGGGGGGGGGGGAGGGAGGGAGGGAGGTGGTGTTAAAGCTTAGAAAATGTAGATTTTAAATGAATATTTGAGCTATGAAAGTGACCATCAAACTAATATGTACATGTATGCTATATATTTTACAACTAATATATTTGGAAAAGAATTTCAAAATAATTACATTCATAGTGTTGTGTATGATAAAATATTAAGATTAAAAAATATAAGAGTTGAAATTTCTTTAATACCTGTCAGTCAGAATGAGCGACTTGTAAAGAAATTCAAAATTTTCAAAGTTCTCTTTCATTTTCCTACAAATTACAAAATGGTTACCATGCAAACAAAACATTTTCTGTAGACTATTTATTTCATCTGCTCATGCAAGTATTTTTATTATTTTATAGTTATAATGAATATTTCAGTTCTAATTTCATCTTTAATTAAAAGTACGGGAAAAGTAACACTACATGTGTAATAAGCAATCCATTATTATGATGGCATTATGACGTCATAGATGAGTGAACTTGCATTGGCGTAAAAATTGCTTTGAAACAGATTAATGTTTACAAGAATATAAAGGCTTATAACTTTTTTTTATTCCTACACCAATTATCCTGAATGATACATCAATGGACAGGAAATAATCAGTACTTTCTATTTTTTACTACGTTCGGGGTATTTGTAAACTTAATTTTTTTGTCAATCATGGAGAAACAATGAATTCAAGGGTGAGGGATGATCAAATTTTGTGCGAAAATGCATTGATTTTTTGAAATAAGAGAAATGGACCCATTATTGATTATGATTTTACTTGATGTATGTAAAGTTATGAAAGAGAATAAAAATGGTTTAAGTACATTAATAGGCTAACCAATGACTTAAAGTGTGGGTGCAGTTGTGGTTAGATGGAAGCATTTTAAAAGGATTTTGCATATAGAACTGTGCATGCTGTAAAATTTTATTAATGATTGAATTTTCCCGAAATTTGGCATAATGTTAGTACATAGACTGTAGTATGACTTATGATGTAAAATGTTGTAAAATCCAGAAAATACTTTTTCATATTGGGTACATACCTCTAATTATTTTTAGAATCGGTAGGGGAAGAAAGTAGTGCAGAAAAAATTACACGTTCCTTAATTTGCAGACCTGAATTTAAAAAAAAAAACTGTGATAATGTATTAAACTGAGCCTCATACTTGTTGATAAGGAATATGTTCCCTTGGAAATAAGCTTGGCAGATGTAATTTATCAAGAAGATCAGCAGAATTATCTTATGTATTATAACACCAGTGAGAAGTCTTGAATTCCCCTACTTTCACTTTCATTTTCAGAGGTTAACGCAGACAGGCGCATTTTGCCGGAAAATGAATCTGACATGCCACCTCGAGATTTTAACCACGGAAAGACAACTTGATGTGCTTTGATTTGAGGGGTCACTCACTGCTGAACGAAAATTAGGGACATTGCTATGTGAAGAAACGTTAAGATTGCCGCCTATGGGAAAACAATTAGTGAGCTGTACCCATATACAACAATAGATGACTCAAAAATAATCGGACAAGGATATATTGTTTGAAATATTCCTCTAATACTTAATTTTAAATCAAATAAATTCTAACAGATATTTTGGATGTGAATCATATACGGTACCAATGTTGATGCACTAGATGCGAATTTCGACAAATTGTGTCTCTTCAGTGATGCTCATCCCGAAAGGTTGGCAATCCAAAATATTTAAATAAAAAGAATTGGAAGAGTTGAAAAAAGGTGCCAAAGACTGGAGTCAAATACGTCGAAGGATCAGAGCTATGCATGAGGGAGATAATCCTTAATTTTGAAATAAATGTCTAAATAATACCACAGCCATTAAATATATATTGGTATTCTCAAGCTACTACCGAAGTACTGTAGGTTACTGGGCTGTAGAGACCCTCGGGGACTAAAAGTCCACCAGCAGAGGCCTCGACCCAGGAGTTATAATGTAAATCATATTATATTTATTTAAGTTTATCGAATTCAAATTCTCCCAGAGTAAAATGTCACCCTATTCGCAGTACCTGCCTAAATACTACATATTAAGCGGATCCAGGAATTTTTAAGGGGGGGTCCATCCTACTCAAGAAAAGAAATCCTTCCCAGAATTTTTTTAGACAAATAAAAGAAATACTCGTAAACAAACTTTTTTAAACATGTAACCCTATTTTAGGGTTGGGTTGGGTTTGTTATGCTATATAAAACTACAAAAAATTGAAATGAATTAAATCCAAAAAAAGGCCAAAGCCAAAGAAAAATTTCAAATTTACTGAAAAAACTTGATAAGCAGAAAAAGGGGCGATGCAAAACTTGCCAAACTCGAAAATCCTATTTCGTGAAGGGGGGGGGGGGTCAACTTCTTTCAGTACCAAATTTCATTCATAAAGTACTACATTACCCTTACTTGACTATGCTGCACAAAAAGTGTTTGGGAGGGGGGAACTGGCCTTTTAATGAACATTTTCAGTAGTAAAAAGATGTGTTTGAAAGAAGTGATGCTAAGTGCCTGAAATTAGATTTTCGAATAAGAGGAATTTGTCAAATGATATATCTATGTCTGAAATTTTGTTTAGTCATCAAATATTGTATATGGAAAACGTTTTCATCACGATAAAACTTGCACATCACGTAAAGATATTTTATATAAAGTTTTTTGAACACGACGTAATGGCTTATTGAAAGTATATCATCTTATGAAATATACACATTAACTAATGACAAAAACACTTCACATAATGACAAATGCAAAACACATAATGACTAAATCACATCACATAATGCCAAAAGCACGTTACATAATGATGAAATCACATCACATAATGACAAATGCATATCACATAATGACAAAGGCGCATTACATAATAAAAAAAACACATCACATAATAATAAAAACACATCACATCATAATAAAAACACATCAAATCATGACAAATGCACAACATAAAATGATTAATGCAAATCATAAATTTAATTTTGTAATAATAAGACAGTCCAGGCGTTCCATAAGAATGAAAGCCATCTATTTTACACTGTAGACCCATAATTGTGGTGATATTATTCACTTTTAAATAACTAGGTTAATGACCTACTTTTCATGCTCGTGGCCCCTGAGTATTTCTTGGAAAATACCTCAATTTTTTACCCTTTGACCAATATTTTCTTTATTAACAAAATATAACACTTAACAAAACTCTGTGGATGATGAATTATAATGTGAAATGATTAGTTTTACAATATATAAATAAACAGTTAGATTTTGAACCATAAATTTGTTTGTTATTCCAGTTAGCAATTTATTTCTGTCAACTAAAACCCTGAGTAAATGTCATGCTTAAATGACTTAAGTAAGAACTCATTTAGCTGTATCATTTCCAAAATCTGCTGAAATATGTCTGATATACTGCTGCCTTGGCAAAAAACAATAGATAATCAATCAATAAATCTCCAAAACCAGTTAAACCGAACGATTTTTTTTGTATACAACCGTCAGTACTGTCCATATCAAAGATCTTTTTGTGGTTCATTATGTTAAGTGTTCACATGTTGATTTGTTCAATTGTTAAACTCTTATTGTACTAACCTACCCCATGTGGGGGCTTTAGTGAAAATAAAAGTTTCAAGTTTCAAAAGTTTCAAGAAAGAAAACAAACATAAGGAATCTCATAAAATAATTTTATTACACGATCTAGTTGACTTATGATCATGAAATTTACATTGGAAAGTTACACACAACACTATATATTTTTTTGTGAAATGCAATTGACAACTGTTATGCATCTGAAGGGTTGACAACATTGGCAAATCCAACTCTGTTGTTTTCCAGATCGAACTCGGTGTAAAAACGACCGATGAAAAGATCTCCAATTATCCAGAAGGGACCACCAATAGTGACTGGCACGTCTTGACCAACGAAACCGCTCATACAGGTAGTCTTCCCTTGATGCGAGACCTGATTAATAAATTTAATGACGTATATTGTTCAAATTTGTTCCAGGTCAGAAAACAAAGTCAAAATTATAGCACCTTTCTTTTCACACAAGCCCCATTCTCTCCGTAAATAAGTAAGAGATATTTACATGCAGTAGTGTTCATTTGAATTGATTTATTTATTGTAATACTCTGTTTAATCCAGAGAAATCTTGATGATTTCTGAAATGTAAATTACTAACAAAATATTCATAATATGTTTGATTGTATTCAGCAGAAGAGTTTTCTAGCCATCCAATATTTAGAAACATCGTTATATAACGCAGGGGAGTGCCAGAAAAGAAAAATATGCTTGATATTGTGGTGACGTTTGCAAGTATTGTAGTACGCACAATTTTCAGAAAATATAAACTTGACAATACATTAATCTTCTGTTGTCTAAAAATGCTTAACCTTTTCACAGTTTCCATTCCCAATACTCCAAGTGTTGCTTTCACGCATCATCTAAGACAATTTCATTTACCTTTCGAGTAAAATTCAATACAAGGAGTACTCACAAGTATTCTTTAAACAGTCGGAAAATCATGGTAAAGTAATCTATTCTTTAGTGTTTAAGTGGCACAGAAGATTTTCGGACGGAAGAGACAGTTTACTGGATGACATGAGTGAAGGAGGACCATCTTTCCTAGATTGTAATGCTGTAAAAAATGAAGTTCGTAACCTGACTTTGCCGTATTTTCGTACATACAGTCGTTTTACGCGGACAGAGGTTTATGATTTGCAGGATCTGAGACAGGAACTGTTAAATATTATTTCATGTATGAAATTAAACCAGAACAGTTTGTGCACATTTTTGATGACTGGTTGAAGCGACATAAGAAATGTGTTGAGTTTAACGGTGACTACGTTGAGAAAACTTAAATGTATTTAGCTTTTGAGTAATTCGAGTCGTCTTAGTGCTCCGGGTATGAGTGTGTATCTTTTTTGTATCTGATAAAATATAACTATCTGTGCTTTGTTTGTGATTAGAACTTGCATATTAATAAACTGAAACATGAATTTAATGAAAATAATAGTTTCATATAGTTTATCAATGTTTGTCAGTAATTATCAATGTTGTCAACGAACTTTACGGACAACCCTCGTACATTTAAAATATATCGTGTTCAGCTTTATAGATATAATTTAACATTTTCAAAATAAAATCTTGCTTTTTCTCTGGTTTGAAATGAAATATATTTTTTCTTTAAAATTCATTTTCTGGGATATTCTCTTTTGTTTTGATTTTTGATTCTAGTTTGCTTAATGTCTTAGGGGATGCACAACAGAAGACACCAAAAACTTTAAAAACGAAAAACTGTGAGTCTAGGGCAAATTTGCAATAAACATCCAAACCACATCAGAATCTATGCTAAGCAAAGCAGAAAAAAAGTTAAAGTAGTACGAATGTAAAAGATAACAGAAATTGTTTGTAATTAAGCCCTTTAATTTGAAAAATAATACTTGTAGCTTATCCACACATTTCACTGAAAACTCTTCTGCTCAATACAATCAAACATATTGTGAATATTTTGTTAGTAAATAGGAAAAGTATGTAACTGACATTGCCAGAAGAACAATGTTTCATCGTAAAATAAATTAAAAATAAATACCGTTTATGAATTGAGAAATCTTATGTGCATGTTTGTGCATGTATAAATCGAAATTATATTTCATTTTTCCAAATCCAGTTTCTTTCATTTTCAAAACAGATAATTCAGTATGTGAGTAATGAAATGTTTGGAGATAACGAACAGTATTCAAGCTCAAAATTCCATTAAACAATACAAATTTTGCAGCAGAGCAAACACCGAACTCTAAAACATCTGAGGTGGGATCAGGTGGTATGGAGGAGTGAGCATCCCCTGCCGACCGGTCACACTCCTTGTCATGATCGGGAAATAACGAAAAAAAAAACGTCGATAATTCAATGTGCAATAATGGCCTAACGATAAGTATGAAAACGTCAGTCAGCATTTGACTTAATGATCAATTGTATTTGCTGACAAGGTCAGTGTTCCACCATACAACTTACGAAATGACGACTTTAAACGAGACAGCTGATATTCTTGTTTCATCAACTTGTTTGTCAATAACTTACTTCATTTTAGAAATTGTTCAGACGTAGAGTAAGATCTTGCTTATCGAATCAACTGAGAGATATAAACCCTGTATGCAGGTGATGAAGGTAAATTGCTGCATAAGTAAGGGAAGTTGATGATTGAAAAGTTAAAGTCATCACATTTATCATAAAGCTTGGTTGTTAGATTACCATTAATGTCTTTTTCTAGTAAAATATCCAAATATGAAACAGATATGTCAGACTCTGTGGTATCTTTTATTTCAAGCTCACTGGGATATATCGTATCGACATAATTATGGAAATAACCACTGTTAATTGACAATACGTCGTCGATATATCTAAATGTCGAGTTGAAGGCCACAGCAAGTGTTTTCTTCTTTTCACTTACAAGATTTTGGACAAATTCTGCTTCATATGAACACAAAAAAAGGTCTGCTTATAACGGGGCGCAATTGGTACCCATGGGAATTCCAATAAATTGTTGGAAGACCTAGTCTCCAAAAACCACATAGATATTGTCAATCAGAAACTCTAGCATCTTTTTAATATCAACTTCAGAGTACTTGTGTGTACAATCAGAATGTTTTTTAATCAAAATAATTATGCAAATGACCAAAGACAAGTAAATTTACGAGTTCCAGTTTTAATGAAAAAGCAGCTGTCAGTGATATCAAAAAGCCTGCATCCCTAAGGAAATAATGCACTCATCTGACATGAATATTTTTTTTAAAAAATAAATTACCATATCTATATTGGATTCCGAAACTTCATAAAAATCCTTACAAACAAAGATACATAGCCGATTCCGGTAAATATTCTGCCAAGCCTCTTTCTTTACTTCTCACTAAAATATTAACAGTAGTGAAGGAGAAACTTCAGGAGTACTATGCAACAATATATTCGAGAAGTGGTGTAAATCAGATGTGGATACTTAAAAATTCAAAGGAACTTTTGAATTTGAAAAATTTGAAATCACAAAATTTTACCAAAATCAACAATTAAAAAACTTTTCAACTTTATATACAACCATTCCCCACGATAAATTAAAGTCCAGGCTTAAAAAAAAACTCAAGAAAACCATCAAAGAAAGATTGATTGATTGATTGTATGTTGTTTTACGTCCTATTCGAGAATTTTTCACGCATATAGAGACGTCACCATATACCGGTGAAGGGCTTCAAATTTTGACCTTTACTCGGCACTCAGGGCCATTGAGCAGTGAGGGATCTTTATCGTGCCGACGCCTGCCGTGATACGGGTCCTCGGTTTTTAAGGTCTCATCCGAAGGACCCGCAACTTTCACTTAAAAGTGCCGAGTGCATTGCGAAAGAACAGTTGCTACCCATTTTTTATCGACTTAGGTCAGTCGCGGCCGAGATTTGAACTCACGACCTCCCGATCACGGAGCGAGCGCTCTACCAACTGAGCTACCGTGAACGGTCATCAAAGAAAGATGCTACAATTTTAGATCTGTCTGAGGAGTGCTATCCATCAATGTCTCTTGGGTTACCCTCAAAAAGAGTATGCTGAGTTGTTCCTGGCATAGGTTTGTTTGTTGTTTTAACGACCCTCTCGAGAATTTTTCACTCATTGAAGACGCCACCTCTTGCCGGTGAAGGACTGCGATTCGGCACTCAGGACCATTAAGCAGTGAGGGATCTTTTTCATGCCAGCACCTACTGCGACACGGGACCTCGGTTTATATGGTTTCATCCGAAGGACCGGTCTACACGTCCCGCAGTGGGATTTGAACCCGCGATGTAAGGATCAACTCCTTTCTCCGCGACTCTAGAGCAGATGCTCTAACCACTGAGCCACATGGGCTACCCTGTTACAGGTAAGGAGACTTGAGACATGCATAAAGATTAACAGGGAATATTTTAAAGGATTAGATATGTAAACGAATTGCTTTTAATTGTGCTTTTCTTATCATTTGTTGACCTTTTGCCATTACGTATTGAACGACCCGAGTAACTAGGTATACGACAACCTTTCTGTTGGTACTTCTTGAAATAATATTAGATAAAATTGCTTTGTCTATTTATATATTGAGTGAAAACATGTTCAAGGACACTTGCCAATGTACATAAAATGGTGTTTCATTTTTTTCTTTTCAACTTTTAGGGGATAGAAATAGTCCTTGCACTACAAAAGTATAAAGCATGCAAACAATGACAGTTACATTATCGAAAATGGTCGCCATAAGAATCAATTTGATATTTTCCATACATATACTTTATCTAGACAAAGGGTGAATGAACTACGATTTTCACAATTTTTTCATCATTAATCAGTGTTATTAAACATATCTACTTGTAACAAAATTGAAATCTTATATCTCTGAAGCTATGCAAGGACCTGAAGGTCAATATACAAACTTCTTCCCGGACATGAAATATATGGTGATAACGAACAGTATTCAAGCTCAAAAGTCCATAAAACAATACAAAATAGGAGCAGAGCAAACACGGACCTCCAAACATCAGAGGTGGGATCATGTGCCAAGGAGGAGTGAGCATCCCCTGCCGACCGGTCACACTCGCCGTGTGCTCCTTGTCATGATCGGGAAATAACGGAAAAATCCGTCGACAATTCAGTGTGTAAATAATGGCCTAACAATTAGTATGAAAAACGTCAGTCAGCATTTGACTCGATGATAAATTGTATTTGCTGACAAGGTCATTGTATCGACCATAGAACTTACAAAATGATGACTTTAAACGAGACAGCTGATATTCTTGTGTCATCAACTTATTTGTCAATAACTTACCTCGTATTAGAAATTGTACATATGTAGAGCAAGCTCTTGCGTATCGAATCAGCTGAGAGATATATACCCCGTATGCAGGTGATGAAGGTATATTGCTGCATAAGTAAGGGAAGTTGACGATTGAAAAGTT